AAATCGAGTGCCTAACAAACCAATCACGTTGAGGATATGAACTACGCTTTAGATACGATGTGAAGCAATCCGACCGCGCACTGACCATATCTCCTCGCATGGTGACAAAGTACTTGCAGACCAACTACGAAGCTTCGTGAATCGATCAACTGCCACTTATCCACGGTTAATCGACCAGCCCGGGCCACAGTTATTCAGACATATCTTAGTTGTTTCGGTTGCATTCTCAGGAAGGTGTTCAATGACAGACACGAAAATATATGCCCTAATAAGTGTGGTGTGTCTGATGCCTTGTTGTTTTCGTTTGATTTATGGTAACTTTTTGGAGGATAGGCGCCTAAATCATGATCGTTTGCACTTGGAAACTCTCAATGTGGTCTATCGAGTTGGGCACCGTTTCTAACTACACGCGTACAGCCGAACATGGCTGCATTGTCACTGGAGTTTGCCTGCTACAGAAAATGATACAACGCAGTTCCTGTAAAAATGAAAACAAACTTGTGAAGAAATTCACGTCTGGAAAGAGCAGAATGATCGGGCACTTTCAGGTTTCTAACATGACCTTGTGATAATTCCCCCATTCAGATGCCTACTCCGCCTATGTACTTTTGATCTCTAATTGTTTTGTCTCTCACCTTCCCACAAAGGCCATTCCGTTGGACAATTCCGTAGCTGATGTGCGCAGCGCGTTCAAGTCCTGTTTGCTAAGCCTGCCCTGACTTGTACTCTCAGGAGTTTCGCGTGATCGCACCGCCAATGAGAACCACGAGACAGTCATCGGGTTGGAAGACCACAATCCAACGACTGCGGACAGTCAGTGACAGACTTGTCGTTGCTACACGCGTGAAAAGTTTTTGCTGTACAAATTCGCTTTCTCTTGTACAACTAGTACCGCAGAATTTCGAACCGAATTCTTCCTTTTGTTATTCGCAATTATCGAAACTCCGCGTCACTCAAAGTTCCATATCGGGAACCTCAACGATGGTGGATGCATCTTTTCCAAGAACTACCTAAGGTCTGGCAAAAATGTACAGAAAAAAGCAGTTAAATGCAGACCACTACTCACAAGATTGTTGAAGCCTGTCCACTGCCGGAATCGATAGCTTACGTGCACATCAGCCCCGAGTATGCTCCATTCAAGCGTCATATTTCACGTATCCCCACACCAATTGGGAGACCCCAAGGAAACCACACATCTGACTGAAGATAGGATCTCACCAACTCTGTAAAATTTGGCGTTCAGTTCGAACTTGAGGTTGATTAAAACTCCACGAGTACAGCCAAGTGATGAACGACAACGGGGGCGGGACCGTTCTTGCGCTGTCGAATAGTTTTCAACAAACTTGCGAACAGTTTCACACAAGAAAATATACATCGGTACCTCGAATAGTGCACCAGCTGTTAAATGATGCTTTCTTTGTGTAATACATTCAGCTGAACAATTGATGAACAAAAAACTTCAGCTAGTAATCAGCCGAGGCTCCCGTGAAAACAAACTGCTAAGCGAATGAGTATAGATCGTGAAATAAATGAAATTGCAACTCAGTGTTTACCTTTGCAAACTAATTTAGTTTTTCGAGAGACTCACCTGGAATCTAGCTTAATCTCTCGGTTCCGGTGTTTCCAGGTAATTGGATGTGCTGCATTAGGCCGCCTCATGTTTCAGTCGCTACGATATTTGAGATATCGCGATACATATGTAATGCACTACTCGTAAGGTTGCTGAAAACTCCTGAACAGCTCACGACCAGTTTCGCCCTTCTTGGGGCTCATCAGGTAGGCGCAGTTTGCAAATGAGTGCATATTCGCTAATTTCGTGCAATTTGGTTTCAAGTAAAACATAAGGTTGACGTAAACCCGGGGACTGCGCCTACCTGATGAGCTCCTAGATAGGCGAAACCGGTCGTGGGCTGTCGCATAGTTTTCCGCAACCTTGTGAGTAGCGTATCACAAAAATAAATATCTATCGCGATTGAAACATGAGGCGGCCTGGTGCATCACATTTAGTTGCCTGGAAACATAAAAACCGAGAGATTCAGCTGGGTTCCATGTGAATTTCTCGAAAAACCAAATTAGTTTGCAAATGAGTGTATATCCGTTAAATCAGTTTTACCTCTTTTTCGAACAAGGCGAGAAGCCTCACGTGTGCGGAAGAACAATGCCTCTGGTTACCAATGTAGGAAAACCTGAAAGGTGACATCAAACCACAAGGAAAACGGCTGACCTCAAGGGAAAAATAGTCAATAAACCAATAAATATTGGTCCAAGATTTTAGCAGCAAATGTCGTAAGGAGATCGGAAAAACGAGTGCAGAAATCGATGAATAGAGGGCACACCAATCTTCAGAAAGTGATTTGGCGTGGATTTGATCGACCTCCTTTAGCACAAGGGTAGCAACGTTTTCAAAACAGCTAGTCCAAGCGCCAAATCAACTCCATGATGTTCGGAAGGGATTGGCTTCTCGACAAGACTGTTCTCGTGTGTAGTGATACGTTGTGGATCTGTTCCACGAATTTCATAAATCAGCAACCTCTTGCTGACCTCGGGAGCGCAGAGGTAGATGAGAACGACTTTCTAGGTTGCCGATCATTGAAGTGATTTGTGAAAAAACGGCTTCCTGGAGTGAACTTTGCTAAGCAGAGTGTATTTTGCTCATGAGTATGGAACCCCGCAACAGTTAGCCATGATGAAGAATCATTCTGAACAGCATCTAGGTCCGTCAGTGATGTTTCACGAACCCATGAGTTCTACTGGCCTTTGGATTCGTCCGTAAATATTGATCAAGAAGCTGTGGAGACACAAACCTCATGCCTCAGGTGTCCATTGTGGAGATCTGGGTGTGATTGGCAGAGTCATGAGTACCACGCTTTGGACCGGTCTCAAAGTCTTGCTTTCACGCAGTTTTCTGACTTCAGCATAGACCTCCCAGTTGCCCGAGGAGAAACAAACGTTTACGGTGAGTAAATGAGAGCATCGACATTGCTGCGAGCCTAGTACTAGACAGCACAACTGTCTCAGCTGAGTGGATCAATCCCGATTCCATCAGTTCTTTACCTCAGAACCTCCCAAGAAGAACCCCGGAAGCCTTGTACCCAAACAGATGCAAGTACTGGGAATGTCCACAGAGCCATCTAGCATCGGTGTCCGGCATCATAAAAGACAGATGGGGCGTCAGCGGTTTCTGTGGCAAAAGCGTACCATTGGTAAGAGACACTTATTAAAGCCTGTTTTGTTCATATCACACCACGCTCGTTTGAACGGTTGCCATCCTGATCTGGTTAAATTGTTCTGGTGAGTCCACACTAGGGCGAGGCACCGGACCCGAGTTTCGCTCTTATTAGAACTCATCAGCAGTGCATATCCGATGACCGTGCCGGGATTCGAACCCTGGACATCTGTCATGCGAGGTGAGCGTGTGACCTCTACTCCACCAACGCACGATGGACGCATGTGATTTTCACACCTGAACAGGCGAGCGTGTTCACACTTGAGTGATGTGATCGGCGTGCCCGAAGTCCGTTTTCTCCCAACGAGAAAAATTTTGGGTGGGTCACCAAACCATTCTGCAACTGGATACCAGCTCCGTTGTGAAAAATTCCAGTCCGTTTCAGACACTCTGTTTGATCAGAAAGGAAGTGAACCAATCAAAGAAGGGACGCTTTCAAGGTTCTATCATAACTTTGAAACAGGATTCCAGCGAAAGTGGATAGACTGACAAAAATCGACAATTCAGTGCCGGAACAGACGAGGCGACTGTTTGCTGTTCAATGTGGACTGGCGTCGACCTGCGAAGCCGCGCAAATCTGCACCCGTTAGGTAATGTCGTATCGGGAACAAATTAGTTGTATGTGTAAACAGATGAGCTGTCGATGTTCTGTTATATAAGTAGCTAACAGGCACTGTTACGTTCGGCGAGGTTGGCGGTTGGATTGCAGACGTTTGAACAACTGCCTAGATCGACAAACAGACAACAGTCAGTCAGAGGAATTCTGTTGAACCAATTTGAATTCAGCGGATAAGGTTCTGATATGAGCAGCCGGAGCGGGCTCTTAAAACTGCCGAGATACTCCACTGCCAGATTGGTGAAGCTACTCAAACAGTTGAGGTAGACTGCACGCCGATTGGTTCGGGTTAGCCGTACAAGTAATATGAGTCGGGCACACCAATCACCAATCGCTCAAGTGTGAACTCGTTCGCCTGTTCAGACGTGATAATTCAGATGCGTCCAACGAGCGTTGTTGGAGTAGTGGTTACACGCTCGCCTCTAAGGTCGGATGTCCGGGGTTCAAATCCCGGCACGGCCACTGGCACTGCTGGTAAGGGCGAAACTCGAGTCCAGTGCCACACTTTGGTGTGGACTCACCGGGATAATTACGCCAGAACACGAGGACGACCGTTCAAACGAGAATAGTGTGACTATATGTAGGCTAAAACCTTCGGAATATCCACCGGGTTCACATACGCTGACGTGCTGTCCACAGAGGTGAGAAGTCTCGTTGTCCACGATACAGTTTGCTTGGTTCTGCACGATGCTGCTCAAGAATGGACGCTACTAGAACGAACGCCTTCTCGGATTACTAAGGTCTTCAAAGTGGCAAGTCACGTTCCTCACCTGCACACTCTGATACAGGTGGCGTGGCCCGTCCACACACAAAAATGTTCAACAGACAACCACCGATATGCAACTCTTATTTGCCGTGTGATGAGCAAAACTTGAGTTCATTACCGTGCGGCTTAGTTTGCGTCAACCACGTTAGAACAGACCGAGGACACCGCAGAATATTTTCATAAAGAAGACTACTCCCAAAGTTGCTGAAAACTCTTCGACAACCCACGACCGGCTTCGCCCTTCTTGGGGCTCATCAGGTAGGCGCAGTCCTCGAGTTTCCATCAACCTTATGTTCTATTTGAACCCAATGTTCTACTTGAACCCAATTGGACTGTTTTCGACAAATACAAATCAATTTGGTTTTCACGACAGACTCCACTGAATCTCCCGTTTATGATATTCTGCTGCGATATATCGAATATCTTGCCAACGGAATCATGAGGCGGCGTGTGTGCGGCACTTTCAGTTGTAGAATATCATAAACAAGAGATCCGGTTGAGTCTCTCTTGAAAACCAAATTGATTTGCAAATGAGTGTATTTCTCGAATACCGATGGTAGTTTTTGGGCTGCCACCTTTGTTGACCTAACGTGTTAAGAGTGCTTGAAGACAATCTATCCGCAACAACTTAGCCGATCGTAATGTGTTCTCTTTGTATTGAACGGTTCGACAACATTTAGAGACTCTCCAAAGAAAGAGTTTTCTTTTCCGACGGTGGTGTTCTCTACATGAGTCTCGTTTGTGTGGAAAACGAAACCCTATTCCGGCTTCTTTTGGAATAAAAATCACTTACCAACCTTGAAATACAGGGTGTCCAAAAAACCGCTCCAAGGACTGCTGAAAGTGTAAACCGGCTGTGTAAGAATCGGCCAAACTTGCCACGTCTGCTGGAGTACATTAACTAGAGGAAACAGCGTTGCCCGCATTCGCCCCGATGATTTGTCGTTTCCTCGCAAACACTCCTATTTCTACCTTTCACCAATCAGGTACTCAGCATAATTGCCCTGGGGGCAAACTGTGTCACGCAAAATGCTAACCTCCGAGCACACCTTACATCGGACTTGTGGAAATATTATCTGACACCTGGACGCAACCGAGCTGAAAGCAAGGATTAATTCTCTCCCTGGGTAATCGGAAACGCCAAGCTCACCGTCCTGTCATACCTGTGGGGAAACTAATCCACATTTAGGCTGTAAAGCTCCAGTTTGGAAATTTGATCCAAGCATGGGGGGATATTGGTGAGGCTGGAACAGATATTAGTCTTCGTCCGGTGTGGATAGTAAGTCGTGAAAACTATTTGTTGCAAAATGCTGACGTCGAGTTTACAGCTGCTTCGAACACAGCCATAAGGGACCATGGACGGTGCTCAGTGCAAATCGTGTGTATGCCAGAAGACCTCACTTGGTAAGCCAAGTAACTATACAAAGTATTTTGTACGTCACAGAAATAAAGACCATGCAACAGACAAGAAGACTAAATTGCTGTTCAATTTTCTCCTGTTTTCAAGAACTTTCATGTGATGTGACAGCTCGGTTTTTGCCTACTTGAGTACACACGTTTAGCGTAAGACGCCTTTAGAGACAGTTGAAAAAAATTGAAATACATTTTCCCTTCAAATGTGTAGGAGTTACTAGTGTTAGTGACTGGCGAGGCGGTTTTTGATGGCTAGCCTGAAGATGCCCACATGGGGTTCAAACCTGGTCCAACCATCAGCCTCACCTGACAGACTGAACACAATTCTGATCTCTGTTTTTCAGTTTAAGTCTGTCGAAAATTTAAGTGTCCACCTAAATTTGTACCCAATAAATTCTCTATACTGCTTTTATGTTCCTTAAAATACCTCATTCTGACGTATTGCTTTCTCGGGAGGTTGTATTGATTTTTGCTTACGTTTGAATCATACACAGAAGGAAGATAAGGAAAAACCGACCAAGACATGCATGACCTTGAACCCGTCGTTTAAAACAAATATGCCATTGAACATTGTTTACCAGGAGATAATGCAGCTACACAGTGGTCTTAGTCTTAGCATACTTGCTACATATATACTTATCCTTGGGTGATATTCTCACGGGTTTCCATAGTTGAATCTAAGAGGTTCGAATGTATTAAATAATTTCAAACCTAGGAGAGTCAGGTGAAAGCTTTCCAAAGCTTCAAGCTTTTCAGGCAAATCTTGCGAGTTGGCATACAAATCCTTTACTTTTCCATCCCTTCCTGAATGAAAGTGTGAATGAGTTTTTTTCACAACTTTCAATAGGAACCTTCACTGAATGCCCCAGACTTGACTTCAAACTCCACTCCTGATAATTTCTAGCGGTTTAACCAAACAGAATGTCACTGTTTCCTTTCGTCTAGTACGGCTTGCATTGCACGAGCACTTTGCTATCCGGTGTTTGATTTCAGTTGCAAAACTTGGAAAATTCAACACAATCCGCTAAACTACCGTTCGGTTAGACCTCTCTAGATTCTGGTCACCACAATCCATTGCAATAAATGTAGCCACGAGGATCCGATTGAGGATTTTTACCCCAAAACATCACTGCAAAGCTTGTTGCGTTTGAGGTGAAAATAGAACATGCTGAGTAAAGGTGGCCTTCAGCAGTAGACGATCAAAAGTACACAACTCGTCTATAGAGACACCTACTAAGAAACAAATGCCGTATATTTCCCCCGGAATGTGGCCGTATATTTTCCCCGAAAGGTCTCGAACGTACATGGCTTCCTCAAATGTGGCCTTCTTTTCGGAGACTTTTGTCAGGTTTAAACAACTACCTAGCAGCACAGTTCAATTCAACTAGAAATGGCGCACCAAATTACAGTGGTTCAAGCTGGAATAGCGTCGTTCACGGAGTATTAAGATGCTATCGGTATCAGGGTCACGCGTTGGTCACGCGATTGCCCAGTCAGTTGATTGATCGATTCTGCTGGTCCGGTGTTGTAGAAATTAAGGGCTTCGCAATGAAGGCGATGGGTTTGATGTTGCGTGATATATTCATACCTCCGAAAGTCACTGGCCACTCTCTTCCCGAGGTTCCCAAACGGGGAGTTGCACACTCGACTGAGCAGACTGGTTTCCAAGTCACACACTGACCGTCTCTGATTGTCTGCATCTGGCAAAAGAACCAGGAAAGATGGCTCTGCAAAACAATGGGTAGTGGACCCAGAAAACGTACAGAAGATTACAGCCTGATTACTTAATTCTAGAGTCCAAAGTTCCTTGGGTTTCAGGGGGAAATTAAACCCTTGAAGTCACAATTTGATGTTTTGTCTATCCGGAGAGTGAACCGTGCTATTTCCATTTATTTTCGGATAAACAGGAGGGGTTTTGAATCAGCTGTGGTGATAACAGGTGAGTATACAAGATATACGAATGACCGTTTCCGTAGAAAAGCACGTGACTATGGAGCAGCTTTGGACTGGGACAGTAACACTGGTCACGAAAATAGCAGAGTTTTTGTGAGGGGCTTGTAACGCAGATAAAATAAGTTGCCCCTCCAAAAAAGAAACTTTCCGAACTTGAGAGTTTTGGCCTCCGCTTGGACATTTGGAATAGCTACTAAAACGCGAGACCCACCGTCCCTCACGGTGAGAAGTTTTTTAAACACATCTGGACAAAAGGCAGTTCATGCCTTCTGTAATTCGAACAGTACAGGTACGAAGTGGAGGCGGTTTCAATTGAAATAACCCAGGAATGACCTTTGATTTGACAGATATTAGACGGAACATATCAAGATTTGAAGCAAAGTAATAAATTCGAGAAATACGTTCACTTGCAAATCAATTTGGTTTTCACGAGAGACTCCCGTCAGAACCAAACTGGTTTGCAAATGAGTGTATTGGTCGAAAACAGTGCAATATGGGTTCAAGTGGAACATACGTTTGATGGAATCTCCGGAACTGCGCCTACCTGTTGAGCCGTACCCCAGGAGGGCGAAACCGGTCATGGGCTGTCGAAGAGTTTTCAGCAACCTTGTGAGTAGTTTTCTTCACAAAGCAATAAATGTTTGTTCAACAATTTTGTGACTCCCTATAGGCTTTAAACTATTGTTTTCGATTGCGCGCAATGAAATCTGGTCCTTTACTGATGATCGTCCCCACGAAAATGGGACTATATGGGGAGGTGAGACGGTAGAATCGGGTGCTAACTCAAGCGTGTGACGGGTGAACAACAGATGTCGGTCGAGTGATGATCTTTGGTTGGGTTTGGAATCCTAGGTTTTGTGTGCATCATTTTTGCGGCATTCTTGTACCTAAAATGGAATATATATTCTTCGACCTGGAGCTGAGACACCTGTGAGGTTTGTTCAAATACCTTTCCCCATGAGTTTCAAGTGATTTGACTTGTACAGTGTGAAACTGAGTCCCCCCTTTCATCTGTCCAGTTGTGTGAATTCTTGGGTTTAGTTGATCGCCCGTGATCCTTCCGCGTTAAACTTTCTTCCTGAAACCTGGGCTATTGAGTTCCCTCCTGTGAAACGAAATTCCAAATAGATAGGCTAACTGACCAATGTCACCCTTTTCGTTTTTCACTGTATCTTTTGGCCAACCGCGCTTGATATCTATTCGTTGATAGTGTTAATCGGTATTTCCAAATCGATGTATAGAGATTGGTCACTGAATGAACACTGTTCACACAATATTTCGCACGGCTTTCAATGGATCCATTTCCCTTGGGGCCCCTGTAGATGTTTCTGTTATTCAGCCCAAAAGATCAAAGTTGCCATCTGCTTCTTGAGGTGCCGAGGGAAATTGAATGAAAACGATGCTGAACCAACCCCGGTATAAATCCCTTGTCAGTGGTCACATCACGAGGATCTTAGTCAAGAAACAATGATCACTGTAGCGTGGAATGAAATTCACCTCATGCCGCGGGGAGTGACAGACAGTTCCCAGCAGATTATGTCGGGCTGACTGACTAGGGGGCATAGTCAGGCGGATTACGGTATTACGCATTCAAACGTAGCTGAAAGCCTACGATCCATCCCGGAGCTTGTCGAGGTTGAAGCCTTTCTAAATGTGCATGGTTGATGAGTCCTAACGAGGGGCAAACTCTTTAGCGGAACTTTTCACTTTATCAGAATATATGCTTGGGTATTTCCCGGGAATTTACTCCGCTCAAAACTCCGATAAGATCCTCAACAAAAGTATAGCCGGCATTCTGCAGTGGCTGTCAGTGCTGCTGATATTCCTTGGGAACACCTGTCAAAATCTTACGGCAGCTGTTTGAGGTAGATGCCCTGGGGCACCCCTCTGCCCCCAATGGTTTCTCTGAACAAATTACCGAGTGGACACCATGTGGNATGGAGATGATAATAGATCCCTACCAAGAACAACCATAAAATGGATAACTCGGAAGTGTTTGAACATCTGGAAAATCGCTCAATCATTTATTTAAAAAATGAAAATTCCTACTTTTCATAACGGAAACTACTCACAAGGTTGCTGGAAACTCTTCGACAGCCCACACCCGGTTTCGCCCTTCTTGGGGCTCGTCAGATAGGCGCAGTTCCCGAGTTTGCGTCAACCTTATGTTCCACTTGAACTCAAATTGCACTATTTTCGAGAACTACACTCATTTTCATATCCATTTGGTTTTCACGAGAGACTCAACTGAATCTCTTGTTTATGATATTCTACAACTGAATGTGCTGCACACAGGCCGCCTAATGTTTCAATTGGCACGATATTCGAGATATCGCAATTCGAGATATCCAATTTGAGTTTAAGTAGAACTCGAGTTTGACGGAAACTCGGATACTGCGCCTACCTGATGAGCCGGACCCCAGAAGGGCGAAACCGGTCGTGGGCTGTGGAAGAATTTTCAGCAACCTTGTGAGTAGCTTCCTGTATGAAAACTGTTTCACTTACTCTTCCAACATATGGAGACCTTATCCCTACCTAGAAACCATCCGGTTTAATCGTCATGAGACTCAACAAAACGAAACTGTATGAATTGATCGCAATTCAGCTTTCTGTTGACCGAAGAGACGGCTTTTTAAAGCGTGCATGGTGAGGTTAATCACATTTTGGTGTAAAAAAAACCTTGTTTGAAAACTGATTAAAGCCGGTTCATGCCTGATGGGACCGAAACGAATTCAGATTCCGCTGTGTAGATTCAGAATTTAGTTCTGGGGTACGGTATTTGAAGTGAAGTCAGTTTCTGTTGAGAGGCTGAGAAGTACAGTACAGCTGTCTTGTCCTTATTGGGAATTTCATCACGTGTTCAATATCTCCTCAAGTACCGAATCGTCCGATGAATGTCGGATGAATTTTGTTTATCCTCTGGACTACTTATATATTGCTAGTAATTTGGAAAGGTTTGGATTATTTTGCTGGAGAGTTCCTACTGTAAACCTATGTTGATTGGTCAAAGAATACCTTTCAGCCGATTAATCTCTAACGGAAATCATCAGCAGTGCGGATCTTATGGAACTCCACTAGAAAGTCTCGTTCTGGCTGCAAGTAGACTTGATACCAAACTGTTGGGCTTCAAGCATCTGCTCAGCAGTGTAATTAACCAGTCCTCAGACACTTAGCAAACGCGAAATTAGGGCGAGGACTGACTGATACTCAACGTTTTCCCCACGGCTATCCAAAAAAATTCGAAGCAATCGCCATCGGAGAATGATTCACCCAGAGGGCAAGTTTACCTTTTCCGAGATTGACAAAATTTGTCAGAACACCTATGCAATATTGATGTGGGACGATACAACGAAAACAAAGGTGTGCAACCAACGTTTAATCCATCGGTTCAGTGAACAAGCTGAGGAGATCGAATTTCACTGCAAGGTAGACTGAAGAAGCGAGGGGCCGGCCTTCAAACACCCACCTAACTGCAGGCCAGGATTTCAAATATCACACAATAGCTCCACTATCACATAAGGATGGTTAGAAATGCTTTGGAGCGGTGGACACTCTGAGTTCGTGTACGAAGTCGGAGCCGACATATATAGCACAGGTGGAACTCCAGAACGAGCTTGCCAGAATTTGAGACTACCGGTAGGTTACCATAAACATCAATACCTTGAATTTACAACATACACCGATCGGATCCGGGCAAAATTCCACCAATAAACACTAAAAAGATGAATTCGCTTCCTCAGTGTGTTACACATTTCCTGACTGAATAGCTGGTAAACCCACCGAAAAAGTGTCCCAGATTTAGGAAAGACAAGGTGATTCAGACATTGAAAATGAGTTGAATAAGAACTCATTAGTCCAGGACCCTCAAAGTCGAGGCTTGCAACTCTCCCAAATTCGTCGATGTAGGAACTCTGTCCTCTCCAAAGCTTGCCTGCAGGTGCGGACCTACTCGCACGGTCCTAATTTCACACTGGTTGCCAGTGAGATTACTGTGAATGGTATGCATTCACCTGCATCCATCGGGGGTATGCAACCAAGCACGTGCACATCCATTGTACTCCTCAATCATTCAGATACCTTGATGCCTGTGGTATAACCACTCAAGTGGTTTTGGGATTGATGACGGTGTGCATAGCCAGCAACTCTCCTTGGATCGATATGCCGATTGATGTGCACCAATCAGTCAGCTCACCCAATAAAGCTCCTTATAAGGAAACCAGAACAACAACGTCTATTCACACCCGAGTGCAACGTTCAAGAAAATGAAACTAATCAGTACTGAATAGCCGAGAATCACCTTATAGCTGTTTCATCCATGCGGGGAATCTTCGGAAGTGCGCATATCAATAAATCCCATGACGTTTCGAACTCTGGGACTCCCGCTGATACATCGTGTTCTCGTATGAAAATTAACGACCGGAAGGTACATCAGGCATCTTGACTGCTCCTCTATAGACTTCGGGCAGACCTCACAGGAACTCAGCCCTCATGCCTCCATGGCATCCAAGCACAGAACGAAAATAACTAATATTCATAATTTTTAGTTGGTAAAAATCAGTGGGATCGAACCCGCTCCCGTCTTTTATCACTTGCATTGCATAGCTTATGAGCGCTCAACGAACAAAAACTGAAGGGTTTCAGAAGAGATTGGTAAACAATCGGTAGTTTCTATTCGGGCAACGTTTCGCTTTTGACACAAAAGCTTCATCAGGCCAAGTGAACAGGTCACAAAATTGGCCAGGTTATAAGACAGACGGGGAACCACTCAGTAAGTCCTTTTCAAACTAGATCACTGTTGAGTGTCAATTAACGGCTCTTGTCGGCTACTGGGGGGGCCAAAATCTAGAATTGATGGGTTGGAGAAGTTTCCAATTAGTTCCGACTAATTATTTATTTAAATAATTAAATAATTTCCATTTCAAAGTTTAAGAATCCGCTCATAACCAAAAAATCATGGTCTTCTGATCAATGTGACAGTACTCTCAAGGCTGATAAAAATCTTTGAAAATCAGAGTTCACCTATAGTATTCTTTGAGAGAGATATCCAGTAGAGATTGAGCTGAGTTTTCAGATCACACTATACCAAATCGCGGTATATGCGGATGCACCGGAGTTCGAAGAAAATCAAATGCTTCGAAATAAAACAGACTACTTAGTAACCTTGAGAGTAGTTTCGTTCTAGCGATTGTCCACTATCATCACAAGTGAAACATGAAGCGATTTTTGTGCACCACAGTCAGTTGAAAAATACCGTTCCAGCTGAGTTGGTCGCTTCTTTTGTGCAGCGTACACCGTTATGAAGGCAGCCGTGGTTTGTTCGTGTTCTTCGTGAAAAGACCCTCTTTCCTGTGTGTATACAGGTTCGTTTTCGCCCCGCGTGTGGGCGAGAAACTTGCATCCCACGAATACGATGAAGACATTATGTCGGCAAACACATCTGCTCAGCAGTATGATTAACTAGTCCTCAGACACTCAGAAAACGCAAAATTAGGGCGAGGACTGATTGACACTCAACGAATACTGACACTCACACGAATACGATGAAGACATTATGTCGGCAAATCCGGTCACGTTCCAAGATGAAAAAACTCCATTCCGTGCATTTGCGGACGCTTGAAAGTCACTTAACCAAGTGTCTGTCCAGGTGCTGATTCAGAAACTCATCTAATGAGTTATCCCGACATCAGCTCGATTCTCCCACGTCATCCAAGTCTTGGACTACGATAGAAAAGTATGTTTAAAAGGACATTTCACTGCGCACTCTTATTGACTAGTACTGGGCCGGTTCAGAGCGCAAATAGAAGTCATACTTACTGGTGGATGAATCTGACGGATCACGTTGATAAAACCACGCGAGCTCGAGATAGCTCAGTGGTTAAGGTGCGACCGATGGGAATGTCCGTGATGCGAAGTTGAACTAAGCATCTCGATTACTCCTGTTTACGCTTGGAAAAACTGGAACTACTTCAGCTCTTGAGCCTCCTTCAGTTGGCATAGCGGCTAGGCACCGAAAGGGTGCAAAAGCTGAGCGATTTATTATTTTTATAGTTCATTTCTCTAGTCGTAGACAATTGCATCTTTCTAGCACCTTCTCCAGGGGAATCCCGCTTTTCACTGCAGTTTATCGATCGTTCTGTTAATTGAATATCTTGGATGGCCCAAAGAATCGTCTGACAAAAAAGGTATGGAGGAGCACTATTTATGAGGAAATGCCAATGAACCAAGAAGCGAGCGAATTTGTCCAGATATCTTCGTCAGATTAGTTCATCCAACAGCAGACGGTAAGTGAAATATATTTGTAAAATTTTGTCCTTCTTCAAGAGTCCACGGTGCAGAGGTTTTTTGAGCCAGCCGATGCATGTTGAACAGATAAATCTCTGATCTGCTGGATCAATCAAGGTTTGTCGGTTCACCTACCAGTGCTGCATACTGGCCCGTGAAATCTCTTCTCCTGACTTGTGGACATCGACCTGATCCTGAGTCATTCTCAGGATATCCTTTTAGTATGCTAATCCAATAAAATAGAAGCGATTTTTCTCAATCTACTTTTATCTTGTTCTTCGAGACACCTTTGGCAGCTTGTCCTGGTATGGAGATTGAGGTGGACAAATCTGAGTCAAAATCCTGTCCCGAAATAACTTTTTTTTCATAAGACGGTACGAGATAGAAAAGTTTTTAACCCAGGACCATTCGTTAAGTTGCTCATCGTCAAGAAGCATCCGGGCGCTTTTAAACTCGTTCGGGCGTGCACGCCGACGTTGACTTGAACCTGAAGCCTTCTTCGTGTCAAATAGTGAATGGACCTGGCAGTATTCTGCTCGATCAGCAAAACGTCAACACAAAGCTGACCTACTGCACACCAACTCGACTGCTGACTGGGCTGTCAAGCTCACCGAATAGAGATACAAATATTTCTCTCACTACTTACAGCTTTGTAAGTAGTAAGAGTGATAAAGCATCCTCATTATCGGCCGACCTATTGAGGCTCCATTTGCTATGAATTCTATACATCTAGTAACACGAGTTTCCGTACTGTCATTCACCAGGTAAAGGCAAATTTGTGGAAGGATGTTCAGGAAAGCGAAATACGTTCCAACGCTGCCCATACGGTTATTGAAAGCTAAATTTACGTTTTTGAGGAATATTGTACACTGGACGTTTTCTGAAATCTAGATGGAGCTGTCACACTGTATCTTGTCCTAGTGTACATATCTCGTTTGATATTTGGGTATGTGATCCAAATTAACCGACTGGGTCCATCCGTTGAACACTAAGAAGAGTGGTGCGGTTTGTCAATGTGCCAATATCTCCATCCTACTTAGTGTTGAAAGTTTTTTCCTACCTCTCAAATCCCTAAATTTTCGGGGTGAATAATATGTGTGCAGGTTTTCTGTCAAATGCCTCGACCGAAGAACAGAAGATTGATGATCTGAACGAATGGACTACTGAGAAGTTCTATCAGTAGTAGACATTGTAATCCGTGTCGTAAAACATGAGATGGCGTTGAATAATTTGAAACTGTCAAAGAAAGGGTTCTTCTTTGAGAGGATTTCAGAAAACGCAACGCTTCACTTAACTAAATGCTAAAAAACTGAGCCAAAATGAGGAGTCATAGAGTGCAACAAACTGCTGGCACACCTTTGTACCCGTTTCACCTCAGTGTGTTGTACTCAGAATATTCACGTATCCTACGCATTTAGAAGGTAACTTTTTACCGGCCTGACAATTGCAGTGGAGTGAGTGATTCCATACAAGGCAGAACCAATTCCCACTCTTTTGCTTGCGACGACGGTGTTGTACGCCTATGTGGGGGGTGATCTACGAAGCAACCTGAGGGCTTTCCGTATAATCTTACCGAGAAAGCCCAGAAAATACAGCACATGCAATATTTATGATATACCCTTTCAGGTTCCAGTCGTGACCGCGGTTCTGATGAGTGATTCTGTGATGAATTCCGCTGTTTCCACACGCCATGTATGCTGAGACAAACCGGGACGTATACAAAGGCAGTCCAGTTTGAACGTGGATGTGTAGCGAAAACTTATGCCCCCGTGTTCTTTCTATTACGTTCCGCGCCCTCACAAGATTCTCATTCTTTATTGCACCTAAAATGGTGGCATACTTCAAAATTACATACCTTAAAAGTTCATAAAGGAAGTTATTGAACGATTTCTTAAGATCTCTGGGCAACCAACTCCCTGTTCAACTCTGTTTTGGGCTCACCGGATGCCTAGAATACCAATGACTGGTTGAAGGTGTGTAGTTTGATATCATGTGCAAGAGTAAACTTCCAGAGCTTGGAATTCGATGAAGTTCCTATTAGTGATCTGGATGTTCACACAATTCTGCGTGATCGTCAGTAGACACGAAGGCTTCATACTTTCATTGCAAAGATAGTTCAAAAAGTGGATAGCATGAGTCGATCAGTCACAATCCGAGAAAGATTTTGAGATAACTTTATAGGTTACACGGAAAAGAGACAACGTGCTTCGACTAAAGAGGGGTTCAGTGCGTCACCCAGCTAGGGATACTTTGGAGTTCTGCACTTTTCTTCAACACCTGTCGTTTAAGCGCGCTTTTGCGCAGTGGCTCAAGAATTCAGAGGATATTGGATTTTAAATTAATACTTGGGGGATAGATTTGGAGTGCACTTTATGGGCTCAGAAGCTGGGTGCTACACCTTGTACGGTCGAATAAAATTGGTGCTCCAGAGGGTCAAATGTTCACCGTCCCAACACTAGATGATGTAATTCAAAGCTCGAAGTGGCTCAGTAGTTAAGTCACGAACATAGAAACTGGAAGGTCCGTGGTTCGAACCCAACCTTGAACACTCGTACAGGTTTGGTCAACCTGGCAGTATCTGAGCCCTTGTGCTACCTTCGTGTTGCACGACAGCTAGACACCGAAAGGCGGGTACAGACGAACCACTATGAATATTGTTCAGTTTAACTAATTGGGCGTGCTATCAAGTTGTGGTCCTGCTCTCTTCTTCGAATTCAAATTTCAGTCAGTCTAAGAACGTCCACATCGTTCTTACCTGAGGAAAGCGATGTCTGTTCAAACACTCAACTCAGTATATACCCCAGTTTGCATGCAATTCCCATCGTCTTTAGTGCGGTCCTTTGCGGTCACTGTTCCACTGAGCAAGATGGTTCGTAATAATGCTTTCTCAGGCTGTCGCCTTAAAAACTGTTGCGGACCACAGTCCCTTAATGCCTTCTTATCACTCACCTCCCCAGTCTGGATAGCCGATTAACAGCCTGCTGCGTTTGACCAAACCAGAAAAAGTCAACGAACGTGCGAGCCAGCTGCTCTATTGGTCACTGTCGCGCACAAGCGGGTCATAAAAAGTGATGCTAAGAACAGAACTCATCTGTCAAGGGCGAGTGAAGAACAACCAATGAAATCTGTCTCAACGAAAACGGTTATTCCATTGGCTGTTATGTAGTCCCGTTACGTTCGAAGCTGGTTCCCCAAATGAAGACCACTCAACAAAAATATTGCATTCGTCCCCTTGAGAAGATTGATTCAAATTTTATGTACCTACCGCACACTTTGGCATGCGCTTCACACTTGCAAAGTGTAAAGTGATGCTACAAAACTGGGTTGGATTAAACCCAACCCCCATGCTTGCGGGCGAGTCAATCGACGTGGTAGATAAATAATCTCACCTGGACAGTTATAAAAGTTACGGTGATTTGGTTGGAGATGAGATTACTTCCCAAATCTGGGAGGCCAGGTCAGCTTTTTCTAACCTCCGATATCTATGGCGCCGACGTGACATCAGTTTGTCTGTCGAGGGCAGAGTTTTTAAACGGCGGCAGTACGAACCATACTGATTGGTGAATCAGAGACGTAGCCTCTACCCGCAGAGGACATTAGAAATATATGTCAGTGTCTGACAATCGGTGTCTGCAATGCTTTGGTCAGGTCTGGTGGGAACATCGGACTCGCAACGCTGAGGTAAACCTGGTGGTTTTAGGAAGAAGGAACTCTCTCGTGATGAATGAATTACTCACGCTTCATAGGTTACCCTGGTTAGAACATGTACCCCACACTCCAGAAGTCCGCCCGCCTCCAAGAGCTCTTTTCGCGGACAGTGTATGACCGGGCAACGAAGTATGAGAACACTAACCAGTAAACCTAATCGGGACGACAACTGCCGCCTTCCTGAATGGGGACCCCGGGACACCAGTAGTTAATGACATTGACAAAAATGTTAAAATCGCGCCCTCAAAGGCGTTCATGCATCCAAGCCTTCAATTAATAGCACCCACTACAATCCTTCCACTTGACACTCCACTGAATAGTGTATAACTTATACACACGTATCGTGATATCTTGAATATCATACCAAATGAAACATGAAGCGGCCTGGTGTAGCACATATAGTGGCTTGGAAACATCATAAACGAGAGGTTCAGCTGGGTTCCAGGTGAGTCTCCCGTCAAAACAAAATTGGTATGCAGATGATGGTATAAGTTGAGCTCACCTGCAATGCTTGTGTCGCAGAACACACTTTGTAATACAGAAATGCCAGAAATCAACCTTGGCGTTGACACCTGGCCAGTTCGATTTACTCGCGGTGTACTAACAAGTGCCAGCACCTTCCACAAATATCTGACCACTTCGTTAGTCCCAAGAAATATCTTCGCACGACCCATCTAAAAGAATACCTGAATTTGTCCGAATAAGACCATGTTCCACAGTCTTGGAGAATACATGCCATGTATGTGTGAAGGTATCTTCTCGGTCATAGCATTCGCTTACGATCAGAATGAAATCGGTGTCATCAGTTTTAGTGAAGATTCTGAAAATGAGTGAGGGCCAACTAGTGGGAGAGAAGTCGTGGTTGAGTTGCAAGCTTTCAGAACCATACTTGTTGAAAGAGGAGCAGTCTTATTGCATTTCTGCTGATTCCACTCCAACCTACCGCTCTTACGATATTGACGGACCCAGGCCTGTCCTATAAAATCTGCTTCATGGGCGTTCTCGGATGTTCATCTCAGTAAAACCTAGAACAACGATGCCCGAAATTCAAAGAAGTGTCACTTTGAGAAACGCTCAACCATATTCAGTCTCCTGGATCTGGGTGAAAGTTGTAGAAGTTTTTGATCGTCTGTTGTATCACCTGACGTGCAGAAGTCAAGAAAAGTTTAAATGCTTGATCGTTTTTTAAAGATTCTGGTAAATATTTCACGTCAAACATAGTATTTGGAGAACCAGCTCCGAACGTAACGGAGCTACATAACTGCCAATGGAATAACCGTTTTTCGTTGAGACATATTTCATTGGTCGATCCTCACTCGTCCCTGACAGATGAGTTGTAGTCTTAGTATCAGTTTTGTTTTGATCCGCTTGTACGCGACAGTGAACAATATATCAGTCGGTTCGCACGTTTTTTTACTTCTTCTGGTTTGACCAAGTGCACCAGGCAGTCAGTCGGCTATCCATACCCGGGTTCACAATAAGAAGAAGATATTAAAGTACTGTGATCCACAACACATCGAA